TGAAGAATGTCCTACATTTGGTGGGCTGTAATTGGGGAAGAAGAAGAGACCGTGCATTAAGAGAGTATGTGGTCTTATTACCCTTCAAAGGATGCTGAAGTGACTTACGTTTTAGATTTGGGATTTGAGATTTTGGTGTCTTGCGTCAAACAGAAAGGTATCTTGGTAGCCTTGATGGGTTTGCGCTATACGAAAAAAGAGATCACGAAATAGTATGTGTGCCGCAGCGATCATGAATAATTAAGTTAAAATAGTGGACGGTAAAACAAATTCACAGTGATCCAAACGTTATAAAAAATGATAACTGTTTTTAAGATAAGGCAATAACCGTGTAATATTCCATTCATGGAGTGTGTGCATCCTGGACAACATATACTCATACGGCAAAAAGTCTATTAACCGACAGTTGACTTCTCACTTCAAACTACCTTGACCCAACTGTATGCCATATTCGACTACTTCACGGTACTCACCTCACCTTTTTTCTACCTTTGTGTTTGAAACACTCTTCTATTCCTCCCCCCTCTGGACTATTTTTTTCTCTTTAACGTTTCTTCCCCTCTGTGAAGCCTGAAGTCAACTAAAGGGCTAATGATAACCATCAAAACGCCTACCATTTGATATAAATAAATATTTCATTCATAAAACCTTTTCAACTTGAGATTTAAGAATCGCTTGAATTTGATTGAGCCATAGGGCTACAAATCAAGCACTCTAGCAGGTTAGAAATTTGTGCACAATTATAGGCCCCAACGTCAAACTACTTTAGTCGGATATATCACATTTGACGGAAAAATTTTCGATATACTTACACATTGACACTCTAAAGCTATACTCTCGTTGTGTGTTTAGCTCTCATCTAGAGCAATAGCGATGCACAATATCGAACCTTCACACGACTTATCCACCAACCAAATGTATTGCTGATGGGCTATCGAATGTGGATACAGTGGTTACACACACACACACACACACGAGAATCGTGAATTGCTTTTCCCTACTTCAAAAGTTATTTGACTTGTGTGAGATTGAACCATGTTGCAGGCGCGCATAGAAAACGATGCGGGGAAAGTTCACTTACTCGAACTACAATATCCGTAACCCACTCTGGAACATGTTCACAAAGGAGGCGCTGCTCTTTCGAGAGACCTGTGTCTCGCACAATGAATCTAGCCAGTGCTCGTCCTCGACAGTCACTGCAAAGGCAAACAAAGCACAGATTAGGAGATAACTCACCTTTGATTCTGGACTATAAAAGGGGGAAGAGCACTAACCTCAGAATAATGGGAATGTGATCAGGTAGGGAAACATATCCCCTCGTTAGATTAGAAGTACCTGAAAGCAAAAGGGAAAGAGTTAAAGACATAAACGATTTAGAAGAGCACACCCTCCCCCCCCCCATCTATTCAAGCTTTTTCATGGAACTTACTGTCTCCACTATAGAGTTGAGCTTTTGGCCAGCTCTCGAATATGGCCTGCAGCAATAATTGACCGTAATTGACTGTAAAGAAGGGGTTGAAGTTACTGCAAGACAAAATGTGAATCAAGTTATTTCAAGAACTAACTCTTCTGATCAGCCGCATCTTCGGGTGTAGTGAAACCAGCGTCTTTGAGGGTTATGTGGGCTGACAGAGCATCGGAACTGTCCAGATGAATAATGGGGAACTAAAAAAATAGCGAAAAAATGGAATTGCATGCGAATTAACCACAAATACCAACTAATTAAAAGCTCTAATTTTCTGAAATAAATATCCAAAGAAATGACGACTACTTTATTAATTTAATTCTCCAAAAATCTAACAAAAATGATATTAAAAAAAACAAACTCAACCAAAAAAAGAGAGGAGGAAATTAATGATGTAATGAAAGCCTGCCATAATCTTGTTAGTCATCATATCCAGCGAAATACTGCTACGTTCAATTGACTATTGAGAGCACCGCTAAGTAAAACTTCAAGGAATATGAACTATGCGCCGGTATAGTAAGGGATCATGCAAGCCGTTTACTATCACTCCAGATCACACAATTAAGGTATATGCAGTCAACAAACACAGGGCGCGTCGTGCATTGGAATTCGTTCGGGGCCTCCGAGCGAGGAATTAGAATGGAAAAGTTGAATTTTGGAGTGTAAACTAATCATTAAGCAAGATTTTTAACTCTGAGTTATACTAACTAGGAAGATTTTTTTTCACAAAACCTTGACTAAGCTCCTACCATCCTTTCCACTCCTCACTCCTCCACCATCAATTGAGCCTACTGCTAAGCGATTTAACTTCCTTTTACACAATGGAAAGTTGTACATTTTATTTTTCAAAGAATAAAAAATGACGCAAAGAGTTGGATCCTTTTTGTGAAAGAAAAGAGAGGAAAAGAATGGAGACGACCATCAACAAAAGTACGACGCGATTTACCTATTCAAAAACGTATTAAGCCACCTCATGAGCAAGAATACAAGCCAAGAGTATTCACCACAAGATGTGAACGATTTCATTGATGGCAAATGATAGTGCATATAAGGAATTTAAGGCAGTGTACCTGATCTCTCAAAAAAACTATCAGTATAAGCGAGAAAAGGCACGACAATGGCAACAAGGAAGCCCTTCAGTTAGTTAAGCCCTCCATGCATGCCAATTATAAATTCATTAATAAAAAACTGCGGTATTGATTATTAGCCAAGCAACAAGGGAGTACGTTCAATTAATCATTGAAAATTGATTTGAGGAGAAGGAGAGGCTGTCGCACTTTTTTTCTTCCTAGCCAGGAGAGGCAGTGTATTACTCGGATTAGACAGACATATAATGCAGGGAATCGGCAAACTTACACCACAGCGTAGATCAACAGAGAACCAATTGGGGACATATATAAACTTCTCTCGCTCTTTCACTACAGCATCAAAATCCACTTGACCGAGATTTTGCACAATTTTAGCCTGAAATAAACCGATCAATCTGATTAGATAATGTTATAACCCCCCGGGTAATATCAATGAATGGCAGACAGCCCCTACCTGTAGAACGTCATAGATTGCAACCTGATTATTAGCATCGCGAGTAACGATAAAACGCTTCTCACTGCAAATATGATATTGAACAATGGGATTACCGCCTGTAGAGAAAAGATAAAGAAGGTAGAATGAATGACCTCAGCATAGTTACTTAAATTAAGAAAAGTAAAAAACTGCGCTCAGAATTCTGGAGATAAAAGCATGAGTACAGAAACGTCTGCCGACTAATCAATTGTAAGGAATGGGGAATTAAACTAATCAAAATCGAAGTAGAAATAATAAGTAGAGATAGAGAACATAATTCACCTTTAATTATAAATGTAGGTACAGAGGTAGGGACAGTGAGATGCAGTAGGCGTTGTTCCGAAGGAGTTTCCGAATGATCTCGAGTCCATGGTGATGCACAAAGGGGATCCGAATCAACAGAATGACTGGCAATTCGATGCGAGGAAAGACGAGGGGCTCTTCTGATTGGTGCATTGATCGGCTGAAAAGAAAAGGTTTAGATTCTGATTAGTGATTCGTCGAACTAAAGAAGCCAACTATAATGAGCCGACCTGCATTGTAGACAAAACTAGGATGTCAAGGGAAAGATATGCCATCCTGAACTGTCAAGACTGCTGAGTGATATTGGAACACGTTTAGATTGAGTACATTCGACAATTCAAGTTCCCCTTAAGGTTTCTGTCATGAAGTGGGCTTATTTTCCAATTCCCATGTTTGTCTTAGTCAACTGGAATGCCATATGACTCCAGAAGATGTAGTTGCGTAAACCCGCTTAGTAAACCCCATATGCTTTCAAATTAAAAGTAATTCTCTAATGTGCAGAGACGTTCTCTCTGACAATTTAATTCCTGTAAATAGTCCCCTATCAAAACCAGAATACACCAAACACACAATTAGGCATGTGTGCTTTTCGCTCATTTTTATCATTAATCAATTTAAAGGTAATAAAGTATATTCTGAAAAAAAAGACATTTTATTAGACAGCATTAAAATAAGAACACAGGGGGTAGTACTTAATGTAGCGTTGCGATCGAATATTCTCCTCAAATCATAGACGATGATGGTTCAAACACTCAAAAAAAAACATTTTTATCTGATTATCCAAATGAAGCTATGGTTTAATTACTATTGCCTACTCGCATATAGACCTCTTAAAAATCTAAAGTGGATGGAAATGTAGAAAGTGAGAAGAGGAACTTTACAGCCGTTATGAGGGCACACCAGTGTCACCGGTGGTTTATAGAGGCAGATTGTGTTCTTTCCATGTTAGCCAAGTCGTCATATCCTCTACTAAAAGGTCTTCCTTACCAATGACTACTTAGTGGGGATGGGGTGTGCGATAGACTTCCCTCCACGTGGTGCACTCTGAGTAACGTATATTCATACGGCCAAAAAGTGTATTAACTGGCAGTTGACTTCTGACTTCAAACTACCATGACAACACTCTATGTCATATTCCACCACTTCACAGTACTCATCTAGCCTTTGTGTCTGTCTGTATCTTTTACATCTGTGAATTACTCTTCTTTTCCCTTGTCGAATTTTTCTCACTTTGATGTTCCTCCCTTCTGTGAAGCCCGAAGTCAACTAAAGGGCTAATGATAACAATCAAAACGCCTGCCATTTGAAATAAGTAAACTTAGTGGGCATAAGAATTACCGCACGTAATTTCTGCCATTTCGTGAGAGTGCGCTTTGCCTCCTTTTTCAAGACTCTGATGATCGACTTCCCCTCCAATTCCCAGCTGTAACATTGTTTAATGTTACTCCGTACCCCGATAAGCAAGACTCACACCCCTTGTATGCATAACGCTATTGTTATATAAATTAAAACAGCGTTTCCTCATTGTCGGAATTATCTCCGCCTCGCGACATTTAACTGGCCAATACAGGGCTCAAATTATAACATCACCAAATGAACAATAGTGAGAAAAGATGATGAATATCAATGCATAAAACCTTTAGTTTGAGATAACACATTGCGTTAGCTTTACAACCATCTTCTAACCGTCCCATCCATGAAATCGTAGTTTGACTTCTTTCAATCTGTTGAGATGATCAACCTCAAACTTTTGTCTTTCGGAACAATAGCAAAAAAGCAGATGTGAAACGTAAAAGAGAGCGTTCGAAGAAAAATAGGCAAGTTAAAATACTTAAAAGAGAAGAAAAAGGAGATTTCGCATCTTCGTAAACTAAGGAGAACTGAGGTACTGGGAAGTTGATAATCACATAGCATCACAAATAACCAGTCAGCATATTTGCACAAACACCTCCTGACCATTTTCATCCATAGAAATAGTTCCAGAATGCACTTGTTTTCGTGGTATATGTGAAAAGTTTGATAAATCAAAGCAAAAAAAGACAAAAATACGAAAAATGTTCCCTACAAAATCAATAAAAAACAACTTACCCAACATTTAACGTCAGTTCCACTAGTTGATGCCCAAAGATGAGGTCCATCTGAGTTTTCCACATAGAGAAGCTGAAGCGAGAGGTGGTATTTAATAAAGAAGGCCCAAGCAAAGCACCAAACATTAAAATTGATAAAAGTACCTTCAAGACAGGGTTAGATTCCCTCCCAATAAGGAAAGAATCATCTGTATTGCGGAGTGTCGTTGCAAATATATTCTTATCTCTGCCGGATGAATACACTTCAGTCCAAGACGGATTCGTCTGCAGTTAATGAATAAAATTACGCATTTGGCAAATGCGAAAAGGCCGATCCATTAAAAAAATAGACCAATAAATCACAGTTGGCATCGTACCTGTAAAGTCCATACGCCCTCAGAATGTCTTCGTATTGTTTCCGTACACCTTCGCATTCCAACATTCCACAGTTTAATTGTACCGTCCGAACTTCCTGAGAGAATTTCTTGGGCATCTGGGCGAATTAAAAGAGCTCGCACATTATCTGTGTGTCCTCGAAGCTGACCAATCGGTTGACAAGTTCTTGGATCCCACATTCTGATAAGCTTATCTGGACTACCAGCTACTAAAATAGAACCGGCTGGATCCATAGCCAGACTATATATGCTATCCTTTTCATCCGAAAATGAAGATGCTAACAGATAAAAATAGAAAATAACAATCGAAATTACTTGTAACAGTGTTATTTTTCGGTGTTAAATTGCGAAGTGTGTTAACGTCCCACAGGAAAATTGAATGATCTAGACCCGCACTGGCAACCTCTTCCTTATGTTGAGCATACGCCAAAACCACGACGTAGTCCTTATGCGTGGGAAGAGTGGACATGCAAAATCCAGTCCTAGCATTCCACACTTTGACAGTTGTATCATTAGATGCCGAGATAACTAAAGAATTATATAAAAGAAGCTCACTTACGATATTCGCCTTCGCAACAAAGGACTATATCATTAACCCAATCGGCATGATGTTCCATGCTTTGTAAATACGGATCCTACCACATAAAAAATCAAACTGAACTCTTACTGTTTGACGCTTTGTGTCCCATACACGAATGATAGAATCTCTGCCAGCTGTATAAAGTCTCTTTTGATAGGGGTCATAATCTAACGAATTTACACCGAATCGATTGCGACGCTCTTCTTTGGCTCGCATAACCATAGAAAGGCATATTTTCTTTTTTGCATAATTCATACTTTATGTCTGAGGTGTATTAGCAATAAAGTAAATATTCCCACATTAAAATAGGTATTAAGACATTTTTACGGCATAACAACAAGCTCAATAAATTCTATTGGTTAGAACCTAAATACGACTATCCGCTCCTGTCCTTAGTGAAGATAAATTAATGCCATACGCAAATAATCAAGATTGGCATATTTTAAATTGTTTAATAAAATTGCTTAAGTTTTCGATTTTTAACACGCATTTAAATATACCAATTTGTGTTTACTTCCTTATTTTATTAATAATAAGTGGTTATTTATGGTCAGATAATTCATCATATTTTGGTCAAGTTGTTTCAAACATAATATTACAATTGAGATTCAACACTCGGTTTTAAATTAACAATGGCACTTACAAATTGACAGCTTCCTCACAGAAAATCTAGTTTCGATAAAGACGCTATTTAAATTAAACTTCAAACATTTATTAATTTATGCCAGACTAAACATGATTGTAATTATTAAGATGGTAAAAAAGCTAAATTTTACAAAAACATATCATTCTAATAATTATTTTAGCGATAAATAAAATTTTGAAGTCACCTCTCGTTTTATGTGGCTTTTATTAAAATGACTAGTCATATTGTTAGATGTCTTGAATACATGGCATAGCGGTATTGACTGGTACGCTAAATCATTTATTTATTTGGCAATTCTCAACTGATTACAATATTAACTCAGTTATTTCAATTTTCCAAGAGAAATCAGTTATCCTAAAGCTCTTCTATTATTCAAATCCTTACCCTTTCAACATTCTCAAAAAATACTATAACACTAATGATACTGTTATTAGTGAAGTTTGTTAATTGCATCCTGAACTACCATATGACACAACTATTTTGGTTGCATAAGAAGCCATAGTGATTGAAAGATAACTGCCGGCTTCCTGAACGCTTTAATACATGCAATGATAATTTCTTGAAAAAAATTGCCTAGGTTTATATAATTTCACAGAAGCCAATCAAATCAAACTATGCCTTTATTGTGAAAATTTTTGAATTTTTCAATCAGATTGGAATTACGATTATTATAAAACACGTGATGGAGACTCTGGGGTACATATGGGAACCTTCCAAGTGCAGTGCAAACTTTGGCTACAATTGCTCAGTCGTTTTTAAATTCAAAGCATTATAGGTTTCATTAAACAGACATTAAATATTGCTGCGATTTTCCTGTAAGCAAATAGTTAATGTCAGTGTCAAGTGGGGCTGACTATCCGCTACACTAGCTATAAACTGGAAAAAGAAAGGACAGTGGATGTAACCCTGTACCTCCCAACAACTACTGCCTTATTTTTTGCTTTAAGACAGGGTAGCCGACAGAACCCCCAGAAATTAAAAGCCAGAAATTAGATATTAAAGTCGATATTTTAATATAGAATAGAATCTGCATTACACGCCGAATTTGTAAATGTGATATTAGCAAAAAAAATAAACATTGTCTTTTAGAGTAAAATATCAGCCAGGTGTTTAGCAAAGCGGAAAATACTTCAACTCGATGAGCAATAAGGTTAAGATAGCACTAATTTAATTTTGATATAAAAACTATCTAAAAATATTGTGTCACCAACTCGATATAAACATAGCTCTTTTGAAGCTCATTCAAATAACGAACTATTGTCAAAACACATTGATAATTATGATCGTTTCATTGCTTATAAACTTTAGAAGAAATAGAAACTTTAATTTTTCCAATCCTCACTCATTTGTTGGAATGCAAATGAGTGTTAAAATAAAAGGCAAATTAGTAGAAAAGGCACCATTCTCTAAATATATTATCTATGTCGTTGAGGTCTACGTTAAAATATCTGCAAGAATTTAAGGAAATAAGAGTTACATGAGGGCATTGATTATCAAGACTGCAATTAGACGCTTCTTGTGACAATTAGGAAAACCATTTTTTGTACCCTTGAATAATGTCAACGCTTGTGAGTCTTTAATTAATAGTTTTCACCTATGAATTCGTAGTTAATGATTAAAATTTTACTTAAGTTAATGAACTCATCAAGTTCCAATGCCCCCCCCCCCCTAGCTTCAGGTGCTGCCATTTGAGTTATCAATAAATTTTGCTTCCCAAAGGAAATAAATTTTGCTGGTATGAGTTTTGTTGTCACTTCCATGTAACCTTGGAAAAAATACAACAGTCAAGAGGTTGAAAACTTAATCTTCTCTCTATGTTCCATTATCTTATCACATTCGTTAACTGTTTTTCACTTTCAATGGGCTTTGTGAATTTTTGTGTTTGGTGGCTTGTATAAAGAGTAACCTTATAAAAAACATCCTCTTTCATTTGAAGCTTTCAAATGTAAACTTGTAAAATGTCTATCTGTAATGCGAAAGTGAACAGGCATTAATAAAATGTAAATTTTAAGGATGAATTGGGTAAAATGCTTTATAATAAATGTGAATGATGCTCACATTTCCTTATTGGCGTCATTTTGAAAAGTAGTCAATTTCTTTTTATGGATGAAAACTGTAGAAAAACGGAGGATATTGTATAGTACAAGGCCTTGCTCATATTCTGCTTTTTATCAAACTCACGACTGTTTTACTTGTGTAAAACCTAAGCTCTCGACTATTCCCATTTTCCACTTGTTTCTACTTACTACATGTAAGTAGAGCTAATTTTTAAACACATCCTCATCATTGTAAGCCAACCGACATTCAATAACTGATGCGTTAGCATTTTAATCAGTTGGTCGGAAGTAATTGGTCATTACTTGCTTTAATTACGATAACTTGTCATTTAGAATAGATTATTATTTCTTATGAAACATAAGTGTGTTAATTTGAAATCAATTACAGACTAGACTTCAACAATCCTCTCTCTTGCAAGAACCACAAATGGAAAAAATCACCTCAACGGTTTAAAATCATCCCAATACATAAAATGGGAACAGTTCATTTCAAGTGCAGGCAAACTACCTCAAGGTTCGTCATTAACAACGATCGATATTGATCGCACTGACAGGAGTACACTTCAGAATGCTTTATGGCAAATGAGATTGCGCTGTTGATTCCACAATATTCCTCCCATCAGGAGCATTTTAGCTAACTTAAATATAGAAAAATTAAATAATTAGCTACTGTACATATCCAGGCTGTTGAGAATGGAAAGTATCTATTCGATCATTAAGAATGGGAAAAACTTTGGGCCAAGAAAGGAAAGGTGGGGTATGTTGAAGGGTGTTGTAGGTATTGATTGTGTCCCTCAACGTTAGAGCTGGCAATGGCAAAGCCATCAGACATAGTCTAGACTTCGAAATACTTTGATCATAAATCGTTGAAATGTCTGCGCATAGTTACGGAGACCAAAGGTCATGTTCAGGTACTTAAAAATGCAAAGTAGTGTGATCACTGTCGCCCCTCGTTCCTGCAAGACACAGTTCGGAGAAAAAGATTTTATTATTTAGTTAAGGTAAAGTCATGTTACATGATGTATAGGAGTGTGCACTTGAATAATTATTCCATTGAGAGTACTGCAATCACCACTTGGTCTCCAATCACTGTTTTCATCTGCTATCCTATGTAAAGAAAAAGTCCATGTATTTTTTTGAAGATCTAACGTTTCCTAATGATATCATATATCGAAATTCTTTATATCAGTGTACTGGAAAAAAAACCTATTGTCGCTCCCCATGTTTGGGTTCCAAAATATCGGAGTGGACAGGAAAACGGTGGAAAACTCAGATAAGATAAAGGAGAAGAAATTACTAACTGTGAAAAGGTATCTTAGCCAACGAAGTTTCTGCCATCTGCAGGACCAGCAACATGGGATGAGGTAAAGCTGTCGTGTAAGATTGAGTCTTTGAGGTTGACAAGTAAGTGAAATTTGAAGAGGAAGTCAGTTCCCATAATGAGTTAATGAACATATATTTATTTCAAATGGCAGGCGTTTTGATAGTTATCATTAGTTGACCTCAGACTTCATAGAGAGGAGAAGGAACATCAAAGTGATAAAATCGAGAGGGGGGAGGGAACAGAAGAGTGTTTCAAAGACGTAAGAGAGGTAGACACAAAAGTGGAAAAAGGTGAGATGAGTACTGTGAAGTAGTCGAATATGACATACAGTGGGGTAGAAATAGTCGAATATGGCATAGAGTGAGGTGATGGTATTGAAGTGGTCGAATATGACATACATTGGGGTCATGGTAGTTTAAAGTCAGAAGTCAACTGCCGATTAATAGACTTTTTGACATATTATATTCGAATATGGCATAGAGTGAGGTGATGGTAGTTTGAGAGGTCGAATATGACATACAGTGGGGTGATGGTAGTTTGAAGGATGTCGAATATGACATACAGTGGGGTGATGGTAGTTTGAAGTTTCGAATATGACATACAGTGGGGTGATGGTAGTTTGAAGTGGAAGTAGTCGAATATGACATACAGTGGGGTGATGGTAGTTTGAAGTCAAAAGTCAACTGCCGGTTAATGGACTTTATTGTCGTATGAGTATACGTTTCTTGGGGTGCACCACGTGGAGGTCGATCGCACACCCCGAGTTTATGAACATCAGAAATTAGAAAAACAAATGGAAACTCACGATGATGTCCTAAATCTAAGTTGATGAATTTTCGGCATTGATTGTTGATCTTAGTATTGTTGCGCTTGTATGATTAGACAAATTTTTTGGGGAAAGCATTTTTCTGCAACATGGTGGATCAGCCTGGATCGTTGAATTTTCCACTAGAGTTAGTTGAGTCAGGCAATTAGTATTTGTAGTCTAGTTAGCATTTCCCATCTTCCAGGTTCACATTTTACCTATAAAATATAGAAGCAAATTCAACCAAAAATCGATACTTTAATAATTTACCTTCATTTCGCTAAAGTAACTTAGCCATCTAATTTCTCTGTGTCAAGAGTCATAAAATGATAAGGTCAATCATGTTATTACAAGATTCTGATGTGGAAGTTGGGTATGTGGATATGATTTGAATTGCTATGACTACATATGAAATGATTTAAT